ATAATTCCATCTGTACTGAAAACACTATTCCAGAGTGCTGGACACTTACCGGCATTTCTCTATATTCTGTTATTTATTTGTTTTCATTAATTTTGCTACGATTTTATCTATTTTTAGTTCATTTATTTTATTGACATTTGTGACAACTTAATGTTTTTTATCCGTTGCCATAGCTAAAAGTGAAAGGTGCGCAGATGAGGTTGCGCACAAAAACGTAACGAGGTCATTAATGTCATTCATCGATAGATTTTACTCCTCACATTTTTCTCATACCGGGCCCCTTATATATGCAAATCGATTCTTAAGGAGTAAACTCCAATTATTTAAAGTTCAAGCATTAAAAATTTAAAGGTCACAGGCGCGGGACTCGTAAAGACTTCAGGTATTAGGCTTTCTGATAATGTATAAGTCTTCTTTAAAACTGACATTTTGAAATAAGCTGAAACAAAGACATTTATGCGACAGATACAAATGATTGATGCACAAAGTTTCTTTAGTATCTTCGTCTCAGCCAATTAAACTTGGTAGTCTTCCAGGGATGGTGGATTATAAGTTTAGACTGAAGAAACTCTTCGAAAGAAACTTAGAAGATATTAATGTACATCTTATTTAGCAAAAGATGAGAGGAGCTCGATGGCGCGGGTGGTTAGCGCATTCGGTTGCGATTGTTGACGTTAAGCAACTTTCGCAGTGGTCGGTCATTGGATGGATTAACAAAAATATTCTATCTCGAGTTCCTCCGAGCTTCGGAAGGCGCGTTAAGCCGTTGGTCCCGGCTGCATCTGCAGTCGTTAGCACCCGCCAATCCGCACTGGGCCCGCGTGGTGGGTCATAGCCCAATCTCCCTATTCCATCCATAGGGAAGGCCTGTACCCCAGCAGTGGGGACATTAATAGGCTGATGATGATGACTATATCCATGTTATTGCAAATGAGGAGCTGACGAACAAAACTGTATAATTACGCATCTGGTCAAAATACTTTTTTGGAGTTTACTCCTTAAGAATCGATTTGCATATATAAGAGGCCCGGTATGAGAAAAATGTGAGGAGTAAAATCTATCGATGAATGACCTCGTTACGTTTTTGGTGCGCATCCTATGTCACGCAACTTTGACAAACAAAGATGACGGATTGACATTAATATTTTTTTTTAAATCTGAACTGAATTTAGATATTGTTTCTGATAGAGCAATGGGGACAACGAGGTATGGTACAACCATCGATGCGGTATTTTCAAGATTCGTGAACCACGTATCTACGAACGTCCATGTGTCTTATTTTAGTTACCATAAACCACTTGTCACTGTAATTAATAATGCAGACAATGTTGATTTAATTAATATTTAAAAAAATGATAATAGTCTGATAATAATAATTACATAATTTATCAACATTCCTAATGATATATTTATGCACATCTGAAATTGACTATTGTAAAAAGTTTAATGTAAAATATTTCGTCGATTTATTTTATTTATTTTTTTTATTTATTTATTTAACTCTCCTCCGTTTACAAATACATTTTAAACACTTATTGTATAATAACCTTAAGGTATTTATTTAATTAGCTATGTAGAACTTTGTGAGAGACTGACGCCTAAACTAAGCATAAAAATGCTTGTATATCAGGTCATCAGATTCCCACAAAAAATGTCGATTCAGTATATATAAGGAAATAGACATAGTTTTGACTCATTAACATTAGAGTCATAAATATTATTACCTGTAAGCATTATTTCCAGGAACAGAGAAGAAAAATAAATGAAACAGGAAATCACTAAAGATACCACTTAAAAATAGTTTAAAAGAATATACGTATATCTATGACATGCAAAACATTTAAAATTTTACATATGGATAATCTACCTCAATGCAATTAATATTCCACAAACAACTATGTAGTTATGCAATTATACAGAGTAGTTCTTCAGTCTCATCGTAACTTAGGTTAAGTAGCCATTTTTTAAGAGTTAATTTACAATTGCTTGAGTTTAAGTTATAGATGTTAATTACTTTGTTTATAAAATTATATAGATAAGGGCCATAGAAAGCATAAGATCTTTGTGCAAAATTTGTTCGAAAGAGGCGTATTTGATTACAAACTTTATGTTGTCTCCGTTTGTTACAAATTGTTGGATCATAATGAAATTCTTTATGTTGTTTGAGGACTATTGCAAGTATAGCTAGCTGCCTTACAGTCAAGACATTACAGTCTTGATAGAGAGTATAGGTAGGGAAGAAGAAAGGACGAAAAGTACTTATTTTCAAAACAGCGCGTTGGGCAACTTCAATAGGTTTCATTATAGTTTTACAAGCTAGACCCCACACTATAACACAGTACGATATTAATGATTCACAGAAAGCCAAGTACGTTTGTCTAAGAATTTTAGGTGGAACTGTATGTCTTAAAATTTTAAATATATAAATTAATTTGTTAATTTTTCTACTTAATGAAAAAATATGATTTTTAAAAGTCAAGTTTTGATCTATTAGAATACCCAAATACTTAAACTCACTTACTCGTTTTAAAGTATTACAGTTGCATTTATCTATATTGTCTTGCAAACATTGGTGAGCCTTGATTGATAGCAAATCCGAAATTTTATTTATATTGGTTATAGAAAAACATATATCATTTGTTTTGTCGGTATTCAGTGAAAGTAAATTGTTTCGAAGCCAATTTGAGACATTATTAAGACCATTTTGAGCTAATTCAAATGCTTTTTCCCACGTATCTTCTGCAAATATTAAAACAGTGTCGTCTGCAAAAGATATAAGTTTTCCAGATTCCAAAGGTAGATTATGGGTGATATCATTTATGTAGATAAGGAACAGAGTTGGCCCCAGAATACTCCCCTGTGGGACGCCATAGGTCACTGGCTGATCCAAACTACGATAGTTGCCCACCTGCACATGTGATTAGTTATATTAAATGTATATGAAATGAATAAATATATATTTATATTATTGTCATTAATTTGTTAATTTACCCTTTCATACAGTATCAATCTTTTTAAAGTTAAATAAACTTATTTTGCGTCTGGTTAAACTATCGAACTTAAGGAGTAAACTCCAGTCGTGCGTCGGAGCTGACACACACATTTTTTTTACTGTCTGGAGGTTTTGGGCCCGCTGAATATCTCAAATCATTTTCAATCAAAACCGCCTAAAACAGTGTTAAAATTACTAAATTAATGAACTAAAAACCACATCAATGCTCACTGTAGGTATGTCTTTGAGTTTTTTATTGCTCCTGTAAAATTTAATTTTATGTAATTATACCGTTTTGTTCGCCAACTCCTCAAACTGTAAAGTTCCCTAGTGAGGAGGTTTTATGTACTTATTAAAACAGATTTTATTTAATTTCACCGTAGTGTTGTCATCTTAATGCTTGTGACATTTTTGATCTTGATCCCACTGTATCTACCTAAAAAAAATTGGACATTTGAAAGGACATACAGGAAAGGAAATGTTTCGGGTCTGCAGGGCCGGATCTACCATATGGCTTATTGGGCTTCAGCCCAGGGCCCCGTGAATTCAAAAGCCCCAGCTAAGTCAAGTTTGGTCAAAAATAGACGAAAATGCGAAAGAATCCATAATTTTATTAAAAAACAGATCGTATAGTTTGCAGCCCTGAGAATCCTGCGATTAATTAAACCCATTCAATTCATTAAATTGAAGTATACTTTCAGGTTTTGGTACTTCGAACTGGCAGTTAAAATGTTGCGCTGCCATTACATATTCATCTCAATCGTGCTCCGCTGTTTCCCTCCCAGACTCTGTCTCTTTCTATCTTGCTGAATTATTTATAAGTACCACCATTATTTATCATTTCTAATCATTTGTTTGAGCAATTATTGATTTGATTAATCATCAAAGATTTTTTATGAGTTTGTATTTTATTAAAGTTTAATTTTCATGTGTTATTAGTCTTACGAATTCTTTATATTATATTTGTATTGTGTGGTCGATAATGGAGATTGCTCAGCTTCCATACATGTTTGGCCTAAAGACCAATAATCATGAAAAATTGTTTCCAAGATTCGAAATTACATAAAAATTACTGTAGAAACGAATATTATTGACGGACACCCTGAGAACTTCTATAAACCATATACACTGAACGATTTTGAGGTTATGTTTGCAAATAGGTACATCTCTGAAGTCATTTTTCAACTTGACGACTGTGTAAAGATAAAACAGGGAGAAAAATACAGCCCTTGCTGAGTTTCTTGCCGGTTCTTCTCAGTACAAGGTCTCCAGCCGTAGATTTACGAACCGATGGCGTAGCTTCTAGACATTCATAGGTGCTTGTTACAGCCTAAACTGAATAAATGATTTTGATTATGATTATTATGAAAATAAGGTACTCTGTGACTGAAACTGTGTAATGATTTTTTTTTATATATGGCTTCGCACGGCTTGTGCATTAAGCCAATGTCAAGTATTAAATGTTTACAAATACAAATCAAGTCAAAGTAAGTGGCAGTCAAGACAATCTCCCTTTCCCTATGTTTCAGTAAAAGTATGGGGATTTGCTGGAAACCTGTGGACTTCTTGAGGGAACGTAGAAAGACACTTTCTGCTATTTAGTTTCACTTGCCAACACTTGTGCATATTCCCGAACACTTAGTGGTTAATAATCCACCATTATAAGACACTAACATCCGCCACAACACAATTTTTAACAAGAAAAACAAAGCTGCTAAAGTGACGCTTCCCGATCCCGCCAAAAAGTCCTGTGTGATGATTGTGAATGAGCCACAGATAAGAGAGATTTTTTAAACTCTTGTTAACCAAAGAAAGCTAAGAGTTTTTGGTTATACAGCTATATCTTCAGTAGCTTCATTATTTTTATTATGTTTGTACTCGTATTTAAACCATATTTTAGATTTTTAGGATATGATGTGTTTATGGAGGTGTTTGGCGAAAATTGTATGGCAATAGACTTTATGATGTCGCCTACTATCTATATTAATTGTCTTAGCACATTTGCATGTAGTGTAAATGATAATATAATTGTGGTTGTGGATATTAATACCACAGTGTAATAAAAAAAAATGTTTTATTTTATTGATCTATACAAAATAGATTTGATTTTATGTTATTATATAAACAACTTACTTACTACTTTGGCTGAATGTTACTACACCCATAGCCATTAAAAATGATTCGTATGTTTTCCAAACCGGTAAAATTTAAAGTCTTTTTTAAAAAGAATATATTATACAAAATCTAATGACTGTAAAATAAAGTATAAATTACGCCAAGAATTACCGTATATGTCAATATTTTTTGTGTATTTAGGCCAATTTGAGCAATCTCCTTTCTTTGCTTTTTGTGAGGTAGAACAGACAACTGAAGAAAAGAAGGAATCTAGGGAATTAAATTAAAATATAAAGTATTAACTTCCTATATTAGGTAAGGTTGCTTCAACTCAGCATTAAAGAGGCCTTTAGGATAAGGGCAAGGAAAGGTAGTTATCCAGTGAGGCATGGATCTTTGCAAACTTGTGTTATTTTTTAGTCTCCAACAACATTCAGCACTAGGTTAGTAAAGTAATATGACAAGACTTTAAGATAATTTATATTATTCATATAGAACTCTGTTTCCCTCACTTCAGCTTGTCTTTAGCCTTTGGGTGTAGGTCTCCTTCATGTCTTGGTTTCATGTGACCTGGAACATTTACAGTAAAAGTTTGTCTTACCTCAAAATGAAGAACAAGATTTTTTTATCAAGATAAAGTCCTAAATTAATGGTTATATTAATGAAACACAAAATTAGGACCTTAACATAATTTACTGTAATTTAAATTAATTGTACTCTAAATGACTTTCAAATTGAAAACTTTTCTAAAATGTTTCGAAATTGTGAACGTCTCTATCATTGAAATCGAAATATTGGTTAACTTTATTAATGACATCATTGGCTTTACTATATATTCCATTTAAAAATGTTGCAGGTACACTAACTTTGTTTAGAACTTTATTTTTTAAGTTGTTCAGTCCACTCGCTAAACTCGTCTTGACTCCTTCAAATGACTCTTTAATATCTGGTAAGATATCATCGAAATTGTAGAAATCTTGGTGAGTATATTGAACGTTATCATGATTTTCTGGAACGGTACGTTTGTTGTTGGGAGTGCGGTTGGCTCCGCTAAGATTTGCTCTAGCAGGTCCTGCAAAATTTAAAGGTCTTGCAGTTGAAAAATTTGCGACTATCGGTCTTATTGACATTGGGTTAGGGATATCATCTACATGCTCCGTAACCTCGTAGTTGTTGATGGGCCGATTTGCTCTTCCATCGTTTGGTGTTTCATCAGCGTCTGAGTTTTGATGATATTGATTATTTTGTTGATTTAATTGTTTAAATAGATCAGCAATGTTTAGTACATCTTGTTCTGGCTCATCTTCTTCTGAAGATGATGCTTCTGCTGAAGAAGATGCTTCTGCAAATGCATGACTTTCTTCTGCTATCGATGAATGATCACTGTCATCCGGGTAATTGTAATCTTTGGGTATATGTCGTGGCCGGTAGTGGCTGTACCGGTGGTAGCCGGAAGAAATGCCGATGGATAGAATCTGAAAAAAAAAGATTGAACATTAAGCACTAAATGATAAAAAGTTTTACATTCTTATTATTAATTAGATATAATAATTAACATAACGGTTGTTCGAGTTTATGATAAAAAAAAACAAAGTATATAGACAGTAAATAATTAAATCAGAGCTCCTAAAAATTGCCGGCAATATTAAGGGTGACTAAAAATTTTTTATCACGAGCTTGGAAAGTGTTGCTCCTCCGGAAATAAATGCTCTACCGCTTGTTCCGGCTGAACCTGCAGTTATTTGCACCCGCCAATCCGTAGCATGCACGCGTGGTGGTAGCAGTGAGAAAATTAATGTATATATATTTAGATGATGGTGATGATAAGAATGACTGTAATATTTCCATAGAAAGCTTGAGGCAATAGTCTTTAAAAACATATTGCGAGCCTTCTAGCTCCAGGCGTTATCTGACTCAAAATACTTGGAATACTTATAAGAGGTAGGTCATAGCGGGTTATAGGGTGCGGCCAGTGCACTCAGATTCAGATTCAGATTCTGAAAACAAGCGCGAGAAATAAACAGTGTAGTCTAAGCAGTGTAGTGTTTGTTTTTAAATTTTAAGCTTCAGAAACCATTTTAGACTAGCATGATCGGTAATAACACGAAATGGCCTACTACCCTCCAGATAGGGACGGAAATGCTCGACTACATGTACCACAGCTAAAGCTTCCCGCTCGGTAGCCGAGTAATTTCGCTCGGCGTGGGTAAGTGAGCGACTACAATACGCGACCGGATGCTCCTGGCCGTCTACGGTTTGGGTGAGGGTACCTCCAATGCCAAAATTGGACGCATCGCAATGAACTGCAAATTCCTTCGTGAAGTCCGGACATGCCAAAACTGGAGCACTTGTAAGAGCCGACTTCAAGTCCAGAAATGCTTGCTCTGCCTCATCCGACCATTTAAAGGGAGGAGCACCCTTACGCGTAGAAGTGAGAGCATTTAATGGCCCGGCCATATGTCCCTGTTCGGGCGCCACATGTGATGTTAAATTCCCCTCTACTGCCCTCTTTTCGCTCACTCAGAGCACCGGGGGAACAATAAAAGAAAACAAAAAAAATTAAGATAATGTTATAAGTATATTTTATCCACTTTAGATACCAAAGCATAGGAATTCAGTAGTTTTAAGTTATTGCTTATATAAATCAACAAGTCTAACTATGTTTATCATTTATATAATAACTATGTTTCATTAAATATAAATATCTAAGCTGAATACAGTAGTTCAAAGTTAATGTGTATATAAACCAACAAGTTGTCATGAAAGGTTATAATTATATGAATATCAGACATTCATAACACTTTACCATGTACTTACAATATAATACTTACTAATATATTTTATCCACAAATACCACATAGACTAGACTGAATAAGCTATTGAGTGGATTTCAGAGGTTCTACGGCTCGTTTGATCGATATTGGTGACAAACTTAGTTAATTCTAGTTCTCAGTGAGATAACCAGTTATATAGCTATATGTTTATATATGGAAATGGGTAAGTCGGGGTCCAACCTCGCCTGTTGTTTCCTCTCCACGTTCACCCGGGGTTAGTAGAGAAATACCTTGATTATGATAGGTTTAGCTGTGTATAATCTGTCTGCGGTTCGGCCGGGTTACATAAAACCTTTGCCTGCTTTTTCTCGCGCTTTGTTTTCTGAGTCTGAATCTGAATCTGAATCAGGAGTGCACTCTGGCCGTACCCTTCGACTACACTGTTTACTTCTCGCGCTTGTTTTCGGAATCTGAATCTGAATCTGAGTGCACTCTGGCCGCACTCTTACGCTCGAAACTTGGAGCGTCTGTCTGAGGAAGTAACCTTCACCTCGCAGAATACCACAGTAAAATAAGACTACCTTTTGGTAGTGTTGTGTTTCTGCCGATGAGTAAGGTTCCAGGGCTCCACGGGGTTGGGGAATGGGTCATGGTAAGAAATGGTGCGAGCGATATATTTTATTTCGCGAGCGTCTATACACTTTGGTGGCCGCTTTCCATCAGGCGGTCATGCTTTTTTGCGACCTATTTGACGTAAAGAAAACAAAGGTTCAACGTCGGTCTTTTAAGTGCAAGAATTAGACAATTGTCAAATATATTGCAAAATACTGCAGGTAGCTTCAGAAGTTGCCAATATATGGATGGAGTATTTTGAGGAAAAAGCTTTCTTTGATGCTTCATTGTAAATTCTATTATTATCGATTTTTTTTATTTAAATAGCCAGGTAGGCAAATGAATCTACCCCATCTGATTTTAATTGGTGATAAAGTCCAAACGCGAAAATAGCTAGACAGCAGGTATAATCTGCCACACCAACCATCCTCACCTTACCGGCCTGCAAAAATGCTTTTTAACGCCTCTCTTAAAAGACCCTAGATTTTAGGAAGAAGGGAACTATAAATAAATATATCCATTTAACATTATTTTTAGCATTAACCCGTAAAAACTAGTTTTATTTAATGAGTGATGTGCGTGAAAACCTAAGAAACAAATATCCATTTAGATTCAAAATATAAGCTTTAATATTAAAATTTGACGACCTCCGTGGTCGAATGGTTTGTATGCCGGGTTTCATAGTGCCGCCGACTCGAGAGGTCCCGGGTTCGAGTCCCGGTGGGGGCAGATGTTTGTGTGATGAATACGAGCATTTGTACTCCAGTCATGGATGTTTCATATGTATTTCTATATAAATATACTTATTTAAGTACTGTATATGTATTCTATCCGTTACCCTAGCATCCCATAACACAAGCCTTACAGTGCTTTCTTTGGGGCTAGGCTAATTGGTGTAAGTGTAAAAAAAAAATCAAATTCAAAAGCTAAGTGACGTCTATTACTATGACCGAAAAGATACAAAATAAATGAAATTCAATATTCATCCTATCCGGTCTGAATTCGATTGGAAATTCCGCTGTGCCCCCGCTTTGTCAAAACATCTTTATCTTTGAGTGCTAGTACTTATAAGAGTGCAAGATTATAAATAAACTAGCATTATTTTCATTGTCTTTTTAAAGGTAAGAATTGCTGTTTCGGTAACTCGAGAGCTTTAGTTGTTTTAAGTTTTAGCAGTTACTTTATTAACGTACGAATCAGCTTATTTACTAATTTAGTACAGACACAAGAAAAAAGATAAGAAGCTTAAATATATGTGCCGCTATATATAATATTAAATTAAAGACCAAAAACTAAGGGAAGGATAGAACAACATAATTGTTTGGTATTAAGAAATTTCCTCCGTTTTTTGACATCGTTATGCAAGATAACAAAAAAAGTGTAGATTATTCAGATATATTATCTAAAATAATACTTTTTCTTTACAAAAATTTAATAGTTCATCAAAATCTGTTCAGAAGTTTATCAACCTAAATCTTTATTTCATGCATTTCCTAAAGTTATTACCGCACCTGAAGTGTTACCGTAGATGTTTAAAAAATATATTTTTGAGTTCGATTATAAATGTGATCCGTTTTTATTGTGTTTAATAAAGCAGCTGGCAATGCAGGAGTGGTATCATTCGTGTTGCAAGTGTCCACGGGTGGCAGTGACCACTTTCCATCAAGTGGACTGCCAGTTCATTGGCCTCCATAAAAAGGTAATGAACAACAGATTCAATAATATGGTTTCGAAGACCATTATACTAGTACTATTAATAACAAATTCATTATTGGAAATAAGCTGTAAACTAGAGGAATTTCGGCGAATTCTACTCAAACTAATTTAGGCTTTGAGAGAACTATAGTAAACTCTGTACAAGAAGGATTATCTAAAACCGCCTTAGCACCAAACTTGGATGGACAGGCAAATTTCAGTAGTTTAGGTAAAAATTTATGGCTAATAAGTTACGGGACTAGTTAATAAGTAAATATTTTTAAAGTACAAATGAATTCTTATCATGAATTAACAATTGTAATTGTGTTGACATAATGGAGAAATGGCTATTGACTTAGAAAATTTTACATATATTGTATCATTATTATGTGTAATATAATGTATAGTTATTATATTTATTAATAATTGTAATTGTGTTGGCGTAATGAAGAAATGGCTATTGACTTAGGAAAGGAGATTGTTCAGCTTCCATACATGTTTGGCCTAAAGACCAATAATCATGAAGAATTGTTTCCTAGATTCGAAATTCTATATAAATTACTGTAGAAACGAATATTTTTGACGGATACCCCTGAGAACTTCTATAAACCATATAGGTACACTGAATGTTTTGGAGGTTGTTTGCAAATATATACATAGGTATTAAAATAATAAAAAACAAATAAGTAACGATCAAACGTTCAGGTATATAAAGCATGTAGATAAATAGATAGTTGCCTGGTTTTAAAGTTAATGCATAAGAGTAACTTTTAAAAATCAAGTATCATCTATGCATTTCCGGTTATAATAAGGTACTCTGTGACAGAAAATGTGTGTTATATTTTGTGAATGAGCCACAGATTAAAGAGATTTTTTAAACTCTCGTTAACTAAAGAAAGCTTATTATTTTTGTTATGTTTATATTATAACCATATTTTAGATTTTTAGTGTATCACACCTTATAATGTGTTTATATAGGTGTTTGGCGAAAAATGTATGGCAATAGACTTTATGATGTCGCCTACCATCTATAATATTTATCTTAGCACATTTGCATGTAGTAAAAATGATAATATACTTGTGGATATTAATACCACAGTGTAATAAAAAATTTTTTTATCGATCTTTACATAATAGATTTGTTTTGATGTTATATAAACAACTTCGATCACTCTTTGGCTGAATATTACTACACCCATAGCCATTAAAAAATAAGCCCTTTTTAAAATGAATATATTATACAAAGGTGTCCGTTAAAATCTAATGACTGTAAAATAAAGTATAAATTACGCCAAGAATTACCGTATATGTCAATATTTTTTGTACATTTAGGCCAATTTGAGCAATCTCTTTTGACATGTATTGTATAATTGTTGGTATGCAACTATTTTTCA